AAGTATCTGACTAGTACTATCTAAGCTTTTTGTTGAATATAAAGAGGGTGTGGATGTGGGCTTAGAGATTAGTTACCTTCTCTCTCCCGATCTCATCCACACTTACCCTCTAGCCAGTTCGACTTCGCAGTAGCTACCAGATGCTGAAGGAGAATATCAAAAAGAATATCGAACGATGAAATCAACATGACGATCGATGTATTCGCGAATTTGATGGCTTGCTGAGCCCAAGCTGATAAAAGCATCTAAAGAAGCGAAATGAGAGAAGCGATGAGAAATCGTCAGGTAAACATCAATCGATGGGCGTACGTAAGAAGAAGAAGACTATTCCGAAAAGGATTTAGAGTAAAAATGACAAATGAAAGTAATAAAAAGTAAATCAACCATACACTTTGCTTGATTTTATGTCCGAGTAATTTTTCATTTAGGACGACATTGAGAAAAATTGAAAATACACAGGTTAATGCCAGAGAAAGACTAAATAGACAATGATCACGTCGTACTTCAAAGACAAGATTGCTTAATCTTGTTTCATTTTGGAACGTTATTTCTGACGTGGTATTAGACGGTGATCAGATAATCTAATAGAAAAATATGATCAGAACGACGAAAACCATACCAACCAGAGTCAATATGATAGCAACTACAGTCGGCATAGAGATACTCTCATGAAAGATGATCATCACTATGAGAGCTGTCCAAGAAACTACTTGTGTCAGTCTAACAGTGCTCAAGTCGGGCGCTGAAATGAATTGTTAGCTAGAGAATATCTGTCGAGCCATCTGCAAGGCAACAAAATTCGTAGGTTCACTAATGAACCGATAGCGTTTGTAAGCCAAGAATACAGAGAGTATCACAGTTTGTAGAGTGAACCGAGTAACGAGAATATCGAGGATATCAACATGCAGTTGCATGATTACGAAAGTTGCACAAATGAAGAAAAAAGATGCAGCAAGACCGTGCTAAATTTAGGAACATCGACGCCTTGTTTTCGATAGTGGTTTCGCATGAGTTTATTCATAGTCTGGCTAGTGCCAGACTAGAGGCTAATTTCTGATCCAGATGTTACAATTCAAAATCAATTTCGACCTTATCATTGTTCGTCGTCAATTCCTTAGAATTTTGAAATGATTGAATAAGTGAATTGAGATTTCCGTGATTGTTATTGCTGTCGATCGTCAACACCTTACGACCAATAGTCAGGTCCGATAGTAACACATGATCTTCGTTGAAACTATATCCAGTACGATACGCTATTCTCTTTTTCTTTCTTTTTTCTAAACTATATCTAATTTCTTCAGCTAATTTTTCTCATACGAAACATCTATATAGTTAGTCAGTGGTGAAAGTCTGGGTGGATGAGGGAAAGACTCATAATTACACATCCCACAATCCCTCACATTCTCAAACAATACATCACAAAGATCGACAAGACCTGAGCCAATGTGCCATATGAAACCCATTCTGGAGATGCTCGAGTCACCATGATCATCAACCAAGCCCTTAGAGCTCTGCCAAAGAGTTGACAAAGATATGCTCTTTAGGTTTAAAGGGAGAACAACATCACAAGTGCACATCGAACATCGGTTTGGGCAATTATGATAATTGAACGCACGAAGAAAATCGATCAATCTTTGATTGTACGAGATCTTCAAAACCGCATGACAAGAGAGAGTACGTCGTTTATGAAAATGATTCTACTTTTCTCGAAAATTTAACGTACATATTGTCTGTTATAAGCTGAAGCTCGTTGTAACATGTCTATAGTCATCAATTTCATGGATCACTTGTATTAAAAGTACACCAAAGATTAACGCCAGCCTTTTAGACAAATACTCAAGAGTTGTTTGCACTGCGCGTTTTCAAAGCACTACCGCAATGATTCAATATCGACTCTCAGCCCATTCCAATGATGATTGCTTTTGTAAAAAAGAAAAAGTCGAGATGATACAAATAATTACCTATGTAAATTGATTTCAATTGTACTTTCATTCTAGAATCGACTAAGTCGAATTACTTATTTATGTCATTTTCAGTATTCGAACAATGACGTTCTAACTATTAATGCTCTATTTTTGTTCTTTCATTGATGGAGAAAGGATAGGTGTTCGTGCATATGACTGGGTCTACAATCGAGAAAAAGAGCAACACACTCGTACCCACTCGAACGCTGTGTAAGCACATAATAATCTAAGGTAGAAAGTATTCAGATAGAAAATGTTAGGGCATAAGCAAAAGTTAAAGATATCGGTGTATCATATACTGGTTTCTTCCAATTGTATTCGTTTACGTCGTACATAGTTTTCTTCAATATGCTTATATATATATATGCCGATGCTTAGTTTGCTTTCTTGTGTGATTGTGCGCTAGCTCGCTTGATAGTTTTGCTCCTCCTCTCTCATTTTCTTATGATTGCTGCTCTTCTCTATATGGTGTCAAATGTTATACAAATAGATCAAGCTCATTTATAAACTAAAGAATGTACATGATCGGCATGATATTTTCTACCAGTATTCTAGAGACTATGGATTGTAATCTGAAGAAAACCAGATCATTTTAGCTCATTTAGTTTTTGAGATATATACGAAACAAAATAAAATTATCTACTTGTTGGATCATTTTGATAACTAAAGTCTCTTGCTCTCTGATGGGAACTATATTCATATTTCAAACATTTTAACTCATTATATACTGTAATATTTGATTATGAGTGCTGTTTATTGATGATTTAAATATAGAAGCGTAAGGATAAAAATCGTATTATATTTTACACTATGGAAACAAAATTCACTTAGTTAACAAGTGCAAGAACCGAAAAGATCATTTTCTATAACATTTATTGATATAGATTAATACATGCAGATTAGAACGGTTCAGGCATTTATATCTGTATTTTTAAATCTTGTTCTCATGCCATTATTCTAAAAATAATATAACTATCAAATTAAGTGGTGCAAAACCTGGATCATGATCGCTACCAAAAACTCTTCGAACTGGATTATCTGGCCCAACACAAGAATAGAACATGTGTATGAAAAAGGGTAGTTTTCTATAATGCGTGTGTGTGAAGGTACGAATTTAGAAAGAACTCTGCCTGTCAAGATATCAATAAATATTTTATTGGAATTAAATCTGTTTGTTACCTGTTAATTAAAAAGTATTCACAATTGGAAAATACAATAAAAATGAGATCAACTTAACTTTTTGCTTTTCTAGTTGTGAATGTTTTTCTATTAATTAAATTAATTTTTGTTCGCAATTTTGAAAACTAAAAGTGACTCACACATTTTGTTTCTTTCTGACAGCAACTTCAAACAACTCTTACAAATAAAAACAAATTCTTTAAGATGCTGGTTGCAATAATGATTTAAATTTTTCAGATTTACCATATTACAAGTGGTTTTATAAAACAGAGTGAGTGAGTTTCACATTTTAGTGCCATACACAGTGATACTCTGATAAGTTTTTTCAATTGCTGTCTAAATCTCGAAAAAAGAATTTCGAAAGAAAAAACCTCGAAAAAAAGAATCTCGAAAGATGAAATTCCGAAAGAACAAAATGTAGAAAAAATTTCTCGAAAGACAAAATTCCGAAAAATAAAATCTCGAAATACAAAATGTAGAAAAAAGTCTAATTCGAACAGAAAAAACTTAAATTTTAATGCATTGAATTTTCAAAAAAACTTCGAAAGATGTTCTCTCATTCTACGATCACCCGATCAGATTCAAATAGATATTATTATTGCTGGCGTGTTTTCCTTTATTTTTCTTTCATACGTTCTTACGTTCTGTGTGTTCACAACTAGTTTTTCTTTTTCTTTTGTCTGTTGTATACATCGTCTAAATCGTATATGTTATCCTTATTCATTCACTCGTCGTCGATCATTCTATTGTTCGCCTCAAAAGTATTGTACCACTTTTTTGTTTTGGCTCGCGTTTCAAACTATATGACTTAGACTCAATTTTCTTTTTTTTCTTCAGATAGTACAGCTCGAGTACAATATGTATACACATGTTTGAAATTGAGGTGCCTTGAATATTAAGTACAGAAATAAAAAACGAACTTTAATACTAAGAGAAAAATTGCGTAAAAAGCTACAAATAGTAAAATACGAATAATGCTAAAATCGAGTGGGACTTTTCTTTGATGTTTTTACATAGTTCGATAGATCTTGAGAAGCTCTACAAAAGTGTTTATATCAGAAGTTTTTTAAACCCTATTTTGGTATAAAAAAGTCACATGTTTTATCTGTTGTATATGAAAAATCCACAATTTTTTTATACGAAAAAGGTAAAAAATACGAGTTTATTGCCATTTTTTTATGCCAAAACAGGATTTAAAAAAATGTTTATATAACCAGTTTTGTTGAGCTCGTCAAGATCTATCGAACCATGCAAAAACATTTTAAAAATGCTACTCATTTTTTTGCAAACTCGGATCTTACTAAAACTACTAAAACTCATAATAGTTATATCGTTTTGTAGTTTTTCACACAATTTTCCACTTAGTATTGAAGTTTGTTTTTTGTTTCTGTACTTCATATTGAAGAATCCTCCATTTCAAACATGTGTATGCATATAGTACTTGAGCTGTACTATCTGAAGAAAAAAAGAAAATTGAATCTATGTCGTATAGTTTTGAAACGCGAGCCAAAACAAAAAAGTGGTACAATACTTTTGAGGCGAACAGTATTAACACCCTCGTCGTTGCTTCTGTTATTATTTATTTCGATTTTTATTATATTACAAAACATGTCGTCACCTAATTTGGATGAAAAACCTGTAATTTCATTTCTGGCCAGCAATAAAGGTAAACTTCTGCTGGTTATTAATGGATTTGTATATCAACAAAACAAATCAACCGCGAAAGTAAAGTACTGGCTTTGTGAAGAAATATTTTGCAATGCAGGTGTTCACCTCAGTTCGAATGATTTATTTCTCAAGTACACGGAAAACGCTCATACTCATATACCTAAACCTGAATGATTAGAAATTCGCAAGATGATGACAAAAGTCAAAACTCGAGTTGATCGAGAAACAACAGCTATTGGACAAATTTATACCGAGGAGCTAGTCAAAGCTAATCTTTCTCGAACAGCTCTTGCTATTGCTCCAACAGCTCGTGAAGCTAATAAGTGTAAATTATTTCTTTGAAAAAACGTTGATAATTTTTTCCCTATAGATCATGGTCTTAATCAACTTCGACGACAAGCCACACCTGCTCTTCCAACTTGTATGGATTTCGATATTCCATCACGTTATCAAAAAACAACTGATGGACAACGATATTTACTTGCTGATAGAATTCAGCCTGGTGGTGAAAAAGTTGAAAAAAGGTTAATTATCTTTTCAACCGACGAACAACTTCGTCTTCTCTTTACGTCTTCTCATATCATGATGGATGGGACATTCGATAGTTGTCCACCCCATTTTGAACAAATTCTTTCAATACATGGAATAAAAAATGAGCAAAGTGAGCTAGTCTTATGGTATTATATAATCATTTATATTTAATCTGATTATGTAGGTTTTGTTTGTGTTTTTGCTGTTCTCTGTGGTCGATCCACGATGATTAATAAAGAATTAATTTCAGTTCTTCATCAACATGCTCGTCGACTTGATCTCCAATTTCGTCCAGCAAATATTACAACTGACTTCGAACCAGCTCTTATTAAGACAGTGGCCGACGAAGTAAGTTCACTTTTGTTGTCCTCGGATTAATACTTCTCAAAATTTTTAGTTTCCCGACGCGCGTCACATTGGGTGTTATTTTCACTATACAAATGCAATTCATCGACAAACTCAACAACTTCGTTTGGTCATTGTCTACCGTAATGATGAAGATGCACGATCAAGTGCACGCAAGCTTATGGCTCTTCCTCTCATGCCACTTAATCAAATCGAACGTGGTTTTGAAGTAATCTCAAACAATGCTCCTCATTCAATACGACCATTAATTGATTATTTCAACAGATATTGGATGATGAAGGTGAAATGGGCATTATGGAATATATCCGATGTTGATGTTCGAACGAATAACATTGTGGAAGGTAAGTTTCTCTTTCTTTTTCTTTTTCTTTTTTTTCGCACGTATTCTGTTGATTAGGTTGGAATCATCGATTCAATCGTTTAGTGGCTAAATGTCACCGGAACGTTTGGCATTTTTTCGATTGTCTTAAAAAAGAAGAAGTTGTTGTTCGTCAAAAAATCTTAAAGATGATGATGGGTGCAAAAAAGAATATCAATAGAAAAGCTGTTGTTCTTCAACAACGTGTTGATTCACTTCAATCGGATTTTAATCAGAATAAAATCAATCTTAGTGATTATGTTGAAGGACTCTCTCTATTAATTGGGGCGAAGTGATATTCTTTTATAATTCTTTTGTTGTTATTCTTAATGCAAATTATTTACTTCATCCATTTATTGTTATAAACTTTAAAAATAAAATTTCTATTGTATTTACATGCTATCTGATAATTATAGTCATATCATATATTGCTAGCCATTCGGGATTTTTTTATTCGATATTTTACTTTTCGAAACTTTTTCTTTCGGCAATTCATTTTTTCGAGATTTTTGTTTTCGAAAAGCTGATTTTTCGGGATGTTAGTTTTTCGAGTTTTTATTTTTTCGACATTTTATTTTCCGATATTATTCTGTTCGAGATTTTTCTTCGAGATTTTTTTTTCGAGATTTAGTCAGCAAACCAGTTTTTTTTATTCGAATCGAAATCGATACTAAATCATTTTCAAAAGTTATTATTGTTTATTTGATATTCAATTACTAAATTTTTGAACCATAAATCTTGAGTAAATTGTATCGAATATGATCAGTCAAATTGTGTATGTAATAAAAATTTGTTTTGTTTCGCAATTGCCAAGTTCAATCATAACTATTATCTTACAAATGAAAAGATTTATATATTGTTTGAGCTTTTCTTATATATACATGTATTCATTATATACCTCAAAGTACAAGCAATTATTGAACTGTCATGATACTAGACGGCAGTAATACTGAATTGTTTTATTTCTTATATAGATTTATTCATTCCTGCAGAAAATTTCTTTTTCCAGAACAATAACTTTAACTAAATTCTATTCTTTCTTCTAAAATTACTTAACCATTGTTTCATTATAAGACAAAGTGATAGTCATAGTGGTGGTTACTTATTATATACTTTGGTGCTCGTACAATTGAAACTATTTTTGACAGTGTTGACTAAACGGTAGATTTGACTGTCGTTTGTATTAATTTTAGTCTTCGATAATCAAAAACTACTTTTTGCTTTTTGACAGAAGACAGGCACATTTCTCAGTCGATTTTTCCATAAAAACAGATTAATTTATTTCCCGAGATAAAAAAAAGATTTTATTTCATTAAAGATTTATCTTAAAAAGTTAATAAAAATTAGAAACGTATGACTTGATTCGACGAAATTCTAAAGAATAACAAAGATATTTCTGTCGTTTGAATAGATGCATACAATTGCAAGATAAGAATACTTATACAAATAAATAGCGTTTTTTACATTCAGTTAGTCGTGCAGTCAAAATATATAGACAAATGACGAGCAATAAATCAAAAATCACTATTCTATTGGTCGTTAAAAACATGTGCCTTCGTTTGTCTGTACATTCACACGTCAGTAATTTTCGATTAAGAAACGCAAATGATCACCTATGCGACATAAAAATGATCAAAACAACCAAGTAAAAAGGAAGCGTAATACACACGTGGACTGATACATTATACCATACTGAATAATTAAACGATAAGGTCACTATATTTCTACCAACTTAGTTTATTCAAATATTACCCTTCATACACACATGACTGCCACCAATAGTACTATTGCTCAAACACATTTTAATAATTTGGAAATATTTTCTCTTCTTTGGCTTGATGCAGAAGTGAACACAAAAGAAGAGAACAAGCGTGCCCAAAAGCAACTTCGTGCAATTATCAATGATCTCAAAACATTTGATGATCAACACGAATGTCAACAATATATTATGTCTTGTTCTGAACAAGACCGACTTGTTCTTATCAGTAGTGGTCGATTAGGCACAGAATTAATTCCTCAGATTCATCATCTTCGACAACTTTCTGCTGTTTATATCTATTGTTGGAAAAAAAAAGTATACAAACAATGGGCTAAACAGTTTATTAAAGTATGAAGCCTCTCTTTTTTTTCGATTTTTTAATCTTCTTCATTTACTTGTTTGAAGATAAAAAGTGTCATTGTTACACTTGATGATCTCGTTAATCAAATCACAATGGATCAAAAAGAGCGAGGAAAAATAGAAGAACCAATGGCTATGACTTTTTACAATGCTAGTGGTAAAGCAGATAAATCAACAACTGAACTTAATGGTCATTTTATTCATTCGTTATTACTAATTGATGTTCTTATTCGAATGAAATCGAATGAAGCTGATAAAAAAAAGCTAATTGAAGTTTGCAAAGATGAATATCATGGCAATGAACCTGAACTAGCCGTTATTCAAGAGTTTGAACGTAGCTATAAATCTAGAAAATCGTTATGGTGGTATACTCGTGATGCATTTTTATACAGAATGTTAAACAAAGCTTTACGAATACAAAACACAGAATTATTATTATTATTTTGTTTTGTAATTCGTGACATTTACGAACGACTAAAAAAATATCAATGTCAAGATCCTGTTCGTGTGTATCGTTATCAAGCTATGTCTGTTGATGAACTGAATACTCTTAAACAATCAATCGGTCAATTCATCTCAATTAATTCATTTTTTTCGACTAGTGCTGATCGTCATGTAGCATTAAATTTCTTAAGTCATTCGATCATTTCGAGTGATTTACATCGAATATTATTTGATATTGAAGCTGATCCTCGTGTAGTAAAATCAAAGCCATTCGCTGATATCACTTCACTCAGTTACTTTCATCACGAGTCTGAGATATTATTTATGGTTGGATGTATATTTCGTTTGACTAATATTTATCGGAATGATAATGAAAAAGTATGGGTAATTCAAATGCAGTTAGCAGAAGATAATGATCAAGATTTGAAGAAGCTTTTTAATCAACTAAAGGAAGATTATGGAGTTGGCGAGAAGGAAGCTGATCTTCAATGTTTTGGTGATGTATTGCAGCATATGGGAAAATATGATTTAGCAGAGAAAATATACTCCGGTCTGTGTGAACAGTGTTCTTCCGATGACGCTTCATTTTTTCGCTTATGTATCTCATTCGGTATGTTGTATAAAGAAAGAAAGGATTTCGACCGTAGTCTACAATGGTTTCAAAAAGCATTGGATAGAAAAATTCGTGCAAACCCATCTGACTTTCTCTACATGGGTGGTCTGTACTGTTGTATTGGAAATATTCATATGGAGAAGAGTGATTATAAAGAAGCAATGAATTACTACAATGGAGCAATGGACTGCTACAAGCGTGCGAATGCCACAAACCATCCAGATATGCCTTCTTTGTATCATGGTATTGCTCGAATTTACTGTGCTCAAAAGCAATACTCAGATGCATTGGACTATTATCAACGCTCATTGGTTATTCAACAGCAACATTTAGCTTCTCATCATCCAGATATGGCTATAAATCATACTGGTATAGGTGATGTTTATCGTATTGTTGGCCAATATCAGAATGCCATGAATCATTACAGAACATCGCTTGATATTAGACAAAAATCACTACCTCCGCAACATCAAGACATTGCTTCGAGTAATAAAAGCATTGGCCTGCTGTATGAGACGATGAGCAATTGGAAAGAAGCGTTAGAATATTATAAAAGAGCAGCCAATATCTATCGTCAGTCGTTGCCACTTCAACAATCTAATGTTACTGAAATTGAAAAAGATATTCAACGCGTTATTTCAAAACTGAAATAATTTTATTTTTTGTGATTGTCAAAAGATTTTGATTATTCGGTTCTATTTATCCATAATAATTATAAATAAAGAAATCAAAGTTCGTTGAGAAAATTTTCTTTTGTTTTTAATGTTTTTCATTGTGAAAGTTTTTATTAAACATAAATGATTTTATTTTTCAGTTAATCAAAGAGAAAGATAATGAAATAAAATAACAATTAAGTGAACTTCTATTTTATTCCATTATGTTTAACATAAATTATTTTCTTCCTGTTTAATCAAATTTTATTTGTCACGGCATTATTTTATAATACAGTATATTCTGTGGGAAGATTTTCGCGGATGGTTCTAATTAATGAATCATATCTTCGAGGAAGTACCAGATATGTCTAGTTCCGTTTTGATTCATTCATCCATCATTCGATAGATTATAGTGAGTTAAGAAAAAGACTCAAAAGTTCGGAGCGGATGACTTACTGGCGAAGAGTTATGACTATTTTAAAAAAAGTTTTATTGAGAGTCAGTTATTTCCGAAAAAGCGAAAATGAAGAGTTCTGACATGAAACTCTGCTTATAAATAGATTTCATAGACATTGGATACTCCTGAAAGTTTCAACGAAAAGCTTCATAGCGCAGTTCCTTTGGGTTTGAAATGTAGAACTGGCATGTCTTATTTAACTTCAATATGCTATAGAAAATATACAAAGTGTAAAATCTGTAAAAGACCATCCTTGTTTCTAACAATAGTCGATTGTCAATAAGCACTCTTCTTTTTATTTCTACATTTGGGCCAGAAATTTTGTTTTCTGCTTTTGACGGGCGCCCTTTCTTATTGATCTTGTTGCCATTTATATAGTATTTATTTGCCTCTTTTTTTTTTTTATTAAATTTTCATAATTTAGGGTGTGGGTGTGGATGTGTGTTTGCATGTGAGCTTTCTTTGCACTCACGTCCCCATCTCACATAGGTATTTTCTAGGATTTCGGATTTGGCTGAGTAATTCACCTGCGCATTTTCATTAAAAACTCAAAAGCTATTTCAAATGATGTGAATAACTGTGTATCAACAGAATGTCATTGGAATTTCACTTTGAACTCATTATATTCATATTCGTAACGAGAGGATAAGAAGAAGGTATCCACTTTGTGCAGTATTTGTCTGTCAAACAATTTTCCAAGAATTATCAGTCCATATAAGATTTCCCGAATTTAGCATTAGAAAGCAGAATGGTATTCCTACACCACTATTGTTAGTACCAGATGTCTACAACACACCAAAACTTAACGTATAAACTACCATATGATAGTCTGTTTGTAACGCAAGATAGCATGTTTGAGACGTTGAGCTCTGACTTGCTGTCCAAATTGTTGTCGAAGTGACGTTTCCATAACTGTACGCTTTATAGATACCAAATTGATTGTTTAACATGCCAACTACATAGATTTGAGAAGTAGGTGAATAGACAAATTGATTGTTATTGAGAGTTGCCGTGGTGGTACTCACACAAATAGTCGATGGTGGAACTGAAATAAAAGAAAACGAGAACGATGAAATTGTTATTTCCTGTAGATTCGCTTCATAATCAGCCTTCATAAATATTTTTTTTCACTTGAGAGTTCAGTGCAACTAAAAGTCTCATGAGCGACTTTTCATCTTTGAATTCGGTTGTGAGTACTACTTTACTAGTAGAACTTCTCTAGCAATCTAAAGCTTAAACACATAAGTATAATCATTTTGACATCACTTTAAAAGTGTACAATAACCAATTTTTTTCTCTAGACTAGAAGGATTGTTTGTAGAAAGAAGAATTCACTCGCGTCTGTTTGTTACATGATACAAGTGGCCATTTGAGAATCATAATTCAAACAACTCTGCAGGATAGATAAAAGGAGAGCAGTTTGAGCGTGCAGAACGGTTTAATGTAATTGGTAAATGATTCACTATGCTTGAATTGATTGCAATGTTCTTTTACAATAGTGTTTGGTTTATTAATAGTTAAAGATTGATGGCTCAATTGGAAAAAATATTTTGTTAAAGAAAACTCGAACCTAGTAGATAATGTGACATATATATACATTCATCGAATTACAAATACTCTCTCTGACTCATTGAATTCTCGATTAAATCGATAATATATTTGAGCTAACAAGTTATTTTGAAACGATTACCAGATGCATGCATGATTGCAATAATTCCTAACTTCGAAAGCTCGATTTTTTTTCGGTAAGTGAACAGTTCAAATGAATAGAAACTAGTACATGTTATTGGTCATTTCATCCGCTTTCTTCATCAAAATTCAACAATATTCAATAGTTCTCCGAGATATAGTCTGTTACTGATACTACTGCTAAACATCATTCATAAAGCATTTTGATATCCTGATAGCGTCGAGAACATTCTTGAATCTCTAACTTTAATGAACCATATTGTCTCCATCGTCAAGGACGTTTCGAATAAAACTTAAAAATAGCTAAAAGGAAGATCCGATGTGAAAATTTACATCGAATTCTACTATTGTCACCAACAGTAGATGAAAATAGCTTTTTAACTTTAATAAGATAAAGCTCTTCTTTCACATGTGGCATGATGGTCGATTGGTGCTGATGCATATTGTAGTTGTCGATCGTTTCTCGCAACAGTTGTATCAAAGCAATTTCAATATGATGCAAAGTGTTCAACAGGTCGATGTCAAAAAGTTCTCTCGAAACACTTGATCAGAGCCTTAAATTGGAAACTAAAGATACCATATTGAGTGGATCGCTGCATACTCTATTAAATATGGATAGTATGATACTACTCTTATGTAATACACTCATATAATGAAGATTTACATATTAAGAGACATTCCATGAGGACATCGAGAATCGTCATAACATGAAAATTTTTAACATGTCATTTTTTTTATATCATTCGATTCTACGTGAAAAACTAAGGTGACGAAATTTTTTTAGGCTTCTAATTCGTTTCCTTCAGGGATGGGCGTGTCCGAGTCACGACTCGGACTCAAGTCGACTCGAGGCACTTTTTTTTGATTGACTCGACTGTTTGACTTGAGTCATCTCGAGGCATTTACTCAAAAAAGTTTTCTTCTGCTGTTTTAGAAAAGTATTCTTAATTTATAAGATCAAATTCTCACTTATTTAGAAACCTCGACCTAATAAAGTACATTGCATATGAATAATTTTTTCAAGTGCTTTTTTTCGACCTGTGTATTCATGTGACCGAAAATGATGGCCTCCACGTATTGTCGAATATGTGCGTTTTTTTGTCGCATTTTGGTTTCGAATCATCTTTGAAGGGTTTATACGTGTATGTAATAAGATAAAGGAAAATTTCGCATTGTGTCACGCTTCATATTCTTTATTACGCTGTAACATAATTGTCGTGTGGCAGTGTTTGGATCATAAAAACGTTCCATCATTCATTTGGCATTTTCTATTTCCCAACAAAGGGTATGGGTGTGTGATCTTCTCCTTATCCACATCCACCTTCTTATTTAAAAGAAAATTAATATCTATATCTTGGCAAGCATGTTAAAACAATTGTGTTACGGGCATATCAGTAACAGATGAAAGTGCGTTTTCGCAAAATGATCTTTCAATGAGATCGNATCAAATTCTACCATTTGTCTAAAAACCATAAAGATTACTGCTGTGTCAGCACTATGAAACAAGATGATCCTGAATTTCATCAAAAATGATCTGCGATGGAATATTTTCTATGCCTTATGCTTAGAAGATAATCCCTATTGTTAATGTTCTACGTTGCCGAAGAAGTTGGTTTTGTATTTCGTGAAAATGAGAGTTATTTGTCTCCACAGGACACACACATCACTAACTCTTGTAGTTTTTAGAAAAATGGTAGGATTTGATCACTTCTATTTTTGAGCACTGATCTTTCTGAACATTCTAATATTGTAGAGAATAAAATTCTCCATAAATCCACGCTGTAAACATAATTTTCTTGCATCATCTAATCCATTCTACTATCAAAATACCGGACAAAACACTAATTACCACAACCCGACGAGGTGTATATAGTAACCGCTATTCCAGTTTCTCTTTGATTCTGAACGATGCAAATAGTCTTTCTGGTGCAGTTTGATGTACTCTTTATAATGATCCAGTCAGAATTCAAATTCGCTTACAGCTTCAACAGAAAACCACCCTTTCTCGAACATAATCGGTACTTTTAGGAAACAATCCTTAATTAGTCATTTTGTCAAGCATAGTGGCATGAAAAGTAGTCTATCTTGTAGAGGAGAATTTTCTCTATCAAATGGTGTGTTTTAACGTGACTTTGAAGTTGAAATAAATTTACAGAAGATGATTAAAGGAAGTGGTCGCACAATTTTCAAGGATGGAAAGTATATAGGATTTCACTTTTCTCAGCCATAAGTACCTGACAGATTGAGATGGTAGCTTGAGTTTCTGTATATATATATGTCCTAAGCATTAAAGACTAATGTGGTGAAAACTAAAGGTTTCTATCTGCTGTCATCATCGAAAAACTAGGCAACAAAAGTACACCATAAGGGGTGGTCGCACAATTTTGACAGCCACTGTATGTGACTGAGAGAATAGACATGAAAAAGATGGTATAACAGAATAATCCTGTTGGATCTCCTGACTTGGACGTTTCTTCATGATTTCGAAATAAGGAAGAAAATATGTTTATTGTTTCCCGCACTTTCTCTTTTTGATATGATGATGTAAGTATTACTCACAGGTAATGTAAGTGTGCTCTTATTTATTTTGATCTGCGCAAAAAGAAGAAAGAAAAGGAGGAAAGAACATGATCAACATCGTTCGTCATCACCAATACAATGCACATGTATAATTTATGATTTTGCGTCGACAGCAATAGCAGTAAGCATCTGTCAATATTTGCTATTTATTCCTCAAGTTCACTAAGTAAAGTGACACATTTTTCTTTTAATAATCGTGCTATATTTAATCATGACGCTGAAAGATAAAGGTTACAGGTTATATAAAGAGTTGACCAGAACTGTTGGCTCAATTTGTATAATAAAATTTCCTACATTGAAATACATATGTATAAAATAGTTTATATGATGAAAATCTGTAGTCAAACACATTCTGCGAAATAACGATTGATTAACTCGACCATTTCATCTAATAAGAAAGTGATAAACTTAGAAGTATGCCTAATCAAAAACAAAAAATGAAAATTAATTGCGACTCTTTAGAAATCATGAAAACATTTCTTTATTTGAAAGAATGTTGCTTCACTCTAAGTAATATTGTTTTCACCATGAACACTACAATAAAAATCTATCAAAATCAATGTTCATAAACTTAATTTTTGTTAATTTATATCATCTTGAGGATATGGATGTAAGTGTGAAAGAAGATAATATCAACATCCACACTTCAAGAAAGAAAAACATATTTATTACAATGTCAATGAAATATCTGTATATTATTACTTTGTATTCGTAAAGAATAACAAAATAACATTATGCATCCATACTATATCATCAAGTATAGACTGTAGTCTATGTATTGAGTATAAGATACCTTGTTACCAATATATGATAGATATTTTTTTTTTGTAATTGAATACTTTCGAATACTCGATTGATACTTAAATGTTTCAAAAACAAGATATTTCTTACTCATTAATTAGCTAAACTATAAAAAACATTTTCAATACAAAATATCGGAAACATACAAACTATCCAATTAGATACATAATGAATACCTTTAAGTGCATATGTACTAAGACAAATTTGAATAGGATAATCGAGCAATTATAATTTAGTGGTTAGAGAACTTTTCTTTTTGAATACATTAAACTCGGTACATTTTCTAGTGTACATTCGTGCGAATTTTTGAATAATCAATTTTCATAAGACAAAGAATTTTTTATTTGGAATTTACATTTTCTGAAAAAAAAAAAATTTTACATAATATTTATACATTATTAATCGATAACAATAGCATAATCTAAAGTTTTTCACTTTCAGTTGAAGTATCAGTTGAAACTTGAGTTTGTAAAGGATTAGGATTTGATTGTGGTCCAGTAATAGAAAATACTTGCAAAGTATTGTCATTAGTATTTAATAATGCATTTGAACGAACCAATTTTATTGGACAACATGTTTGAGTATCACATGCATTATTTTCACAACGTAACAAACAATCACCAGCTATTTTTGATTGACTATTCGTATTTCGACGTAATAATGGTGTTTGATGATCATCATCACATTCATATTGCATTGTTGAAGAATGTATACCAATTGAATGAAAAAAATCTTTCACTTTTTCAGCAACCAACATATAATTTGATAAAGTTTTTCGATGTAAATGTGCACTAGCAATGATTTTCTCATCTGTTAAACGCCAAACATGTAATTCATGAATACTACGAATTTCAGGAATAGCTTCTAATAATTTTGTTTTAATTCGATGAATTTCAAGATTTTTAGGAATTTGTTGAAGTAAAATTGCAGATGTATCTCGAAAAAGTGGAATTGTAGAAATTGATATTATGATAACAATTATCACTGATAACATTGGATCAATATAAACAGTCCAATGTTTCTTATCTTCTTGATTATGTGGAACAAATTTTATTATTAAAGCACTTATTATAACAACCACGGAACCAAGAGCATCAGCTAATACATGTAAAAATACTCCATGCATATTCATTGATGCTTTTTTTTGTGGTTTGTTTTTCGTGTCATCCTTATCTTTATTATCCATTTCAATAACTGTATCATTTGAATATTCATCTATTTGACTTGAGCATTCTTCAATAACCTAAATTTAACAGATAAAGAAGTTTAAATTATGTTTTAAATCTTACTTCTTGTAAAGCTCGTGTACTATGTCTTTCAAATCTAGTTGAACCATCATAAAATACTTCTGGTGGAATATTTTCATTTGATTTTATGTTTTTATCACCATGTGAATGACCTCCATGAGAATGTCCATGAAAACCTTGAAATAATAATAAACCAATAATATTTACTCCTAAACCAACAGAACCAACAATAAGTAATAAATTAACATTTTCAATTGGTTCTGGATCAACAAAACGTTTAATAGCATCAAATACAATAGTTAAACAAAGTGCAAGAAGAAAAACTGTATTTATATTTGCACCTACAACTTCAGCACGTACCCATCCATATGTATTAACATCTGATCCACGTTTGACAAATCTAACAGCAGTTAGTCCAATAACAAGTGATATTACATCAGATAGCATATGAAATGAATCAGCAATAAGTGCAACCGATTTTGTTATATTACCAACAACAAGTTCGACAACAAAATATCCAAATGTTAAAAAAAGCATTGATAATAAACGAAAAGTTTTTGTTCGCAATACTAGACGTTTACTATGATGATCATGATTATGATCATGATTATGATTGTGTTCGTGTTCAGATTTTGAAGACGGCATTGTAAAATATGTATAAGTAATTATATAGAAGCAGAAGAATATATACTATTCAAAAGGCACCCCCAATATAATGAATCACTTTTAGTAATTTTTTTTTATAACTTCTTATTTGTGGGGGTGCTGAAAAACTGCACCCCCAAAACAGAAGTAATATGTTTTCGTCATTTTTTTTAAAACAAAATACAATGATTTGACATTGATAGATGTCTTTATTATTTCTTTTATTATCGAAGAAAGCTTCTAAGTTCACCTCGTGCAGTATGGCCTGTATTATAAATCCGATTTTTAAGTGGAAGAAAAAAAGGAAAGACGAAAAAAAAAAATAATCTATACTTCTCTCACTACAGAATGTCATTTATCAATAAATCCCTTAGATAGTGTGCAAAAATAGTAAATGACGCATTGCAAATAACTAAAACATAAAATACAACAATAGATTTCCGTATCCTTTTTACGTCTTAACATAATAAATTTTTCTTATGATTTAATTCTATAGCATAAGACAATAATAGTAATATATTAATAAAATAGTAGAAATATGTCTAATTATCAATTAGAATTCTACATTCATAAAAAACAGATGAGAACATGATATTAATATTTATGTATTATTAATAAAATGAATCGAGATTCTAGATTGCAGAGCCTACGATTAATTGAAATAATACTTTTTCAAAAATATGAATGTTTATCTTATGAACAGAATCATAAAATAATAAAAGGATTTATGCTTTAGTGTAGTTACTCTTCGTAGTGTAAGTTGGTTTGTTAACAAAAGACGATTGCTATACCAGAACCATTCATAATACGTTTTTTTTTTTCGTTTCATTCGCTAAACAAAACAAATTATATTCTTGTTCTTCTTAAACAAACACTTAAAATTTCTTTCGTTACATTTTCTTATATAGAAACAAGAATAAAAATGCAACCTTGCAAATATTACAAATTTTTTCATGAAGCACACAGATGAAAAAAATGAATCTATTTTAATAACATGGCAAAGAACGAACGGCTACAATAGGATCGAAATTCTATGAAATATTGTTTTTGATATGATACAACGTATCTGAAAACATTTACGAGATAATATATTCGTATCAATATCTAACCTGTTTCGTCATATCTATGTCCTATTGTATTAATTGTTTTGTTATTACTTTTTTTAGGATAGTGGGTTTATTATTCATTATTGCTTACTACGAGTTATTAGCAATGAGTACTTAAATGAATAAGGTACAATCATTTTTCGTTGAAAAATTTTAGAAAATGATAGAAACTTGGAAGTAGGAATCTAGTGATCGGATTTGATGGTAGTCGGGTATAGTTGGCCGCCGAATTTGATTACCGAGTTCCTACTTCCAAGTTTCTACCATTTTTCGAAGTTTTCCAGCAGAGAACAGCGTCTTTCTAGTGGATTCACGCTGAAAACTGACGAATTCTGGACGCTGGAACTATTGAATTCGATAATAAAATCTGAAAAATAATTAGTAATAAAACCATAGAAAAATATATCATATTTCGCTAATAAGATACAAAAACGCTCTAGCTTCGTGAAAATAAAATAAAATGAACCAAATGGTGATACAAAATAATAGTAGTTATTTCTTTGACTGAAAGGCTGGAGTCTAGAAACGGGAAATTCACCTTTGTCTGTCTGTAGCAGAGTTACTATATAGTAGCTATGGCTACAATGGTATAAATGACTGTGTAAGATAATTAAAAAAGGGTACCTACGCGTCCGTATTTAAATTAATTGAGGAGTAGTGTCTCAGAAATAAGAATACAATATCTATATATATACTCCGTTATTCATTATATATAATAGTATTTTGCTGTATCACATGGCTCAGTACTGCGGTCGTATCTCTCCGCATTGTATATGAAGAAATGCAATCATAATACAGAATCATGTAATATGCCAATATACGACCATTTACAATTGGTTACAAGTGTACTTGTTAAACTTAGGATGCCTATAGGAGTGATGATCATTGTTATTAAACTATTGAAGGTTCAATCGATTGTTCAATACTATACATAAGAGGATGTGATGTAATAATTATTAAGGGTGAGAGAGTAAGTCTGAACATATGATTATGATAAACAAAACTCAAATTGTCTGAATAATGTGATGTAAAGTTTTTTGCAATGAAAACAGCACTAATATATTAATGGTAAATAATTGTAATGATTTCTATGTTATCTTAATAAAGAAGTAATTACATGTATATAAAGTGATCCACAAGTAACCGGTCAGTCTTTGATTGCGAATAACTTTTGATAACAACAAGACAAAGAGTTGTGGTTTTCATCGGTGGAAAGTGGAGATGAAGGCACGTTGATTCATACAGTATAGAGTTTTTCTAAGATGTTTTCATAATCAACTTTCTAAAAAAACTTGCCGGAGAAATGGTTTCTTATAAAATAAGAAAAATACAAAAAAGTGATTTATTTTTCACAAAACTTAATAGAAAAATCGGCTCAGAATTTCAAGTAGAATGCTTATAACTTCTAAAGGAGTCACTCTCAAAGTCTGGGCTTTGCAAAGTTTTTTAGATTTTTGCTTAGCGATTCCAATGTACACCTGATCATAAAAAAATTCAATGTAGTCATCTTATGGAGTACGTTGATTTAACTCCTTGAAAAAACCAGGTCAAATCATCTTATATTATATAGTTCGATGGGTGTTCATCTCGTCTTTCGAAAACCGCAGCTCTCTACCTTTTTCCAACTAAAAGTTATTCGCAATCAAAAACTGACCGGTTACTTGCGGACCATCGTGTATACAAAACATACATTTAACTCACAACATGAACAAGAAGACACAGAATAATATTAATAGTGAAAAAAACAGAAAAATTATCAATTTCAAGTTTTTTATCGAAATATTCAGTCGTCATTTGAAATTAAAAATAGAATTTCAAGACCAATATCAAAGAACACTAGTGAATAGAGTTACAATAGTGCAACAATAAAAACATTTTCACGAAATTTCCATAGAAATATCAATAACATTGCATATATACACTGAACTTCATTAGACATGTATAGAATGTTGAAAATTGGTCTTTCTTTATAAACATAAAAAACAAATTTTTACATGACGAATAGATTGTTTTTATGAAATAAATCTCTGTCATATGTCAAGCCACATCTTCTATTTATCTAGTACTTTACTTCATACAGATGTAAATGATGACATTTGGATTAAAAATGCAGAGAATTTAGCAAAGCATCGATAATCATTCTCTAGCTCCTAAGTATACGTTTCATTGCTGAACACCAAAATTTTCTTTATATTTTTGTTTTTTTGATCATTTTTCATAAATTTAGGGTGCAAGAGGCACCATTTATGGCAAATTTTTGTCTGTAATTCGATGTTCTTAGTAGTAGGACCATAAATGTAGAGTGGATATAAAAACAATGATGAATTTTTTTCTAGTTAGATATTGTTGATGAATTCAGTATTTAATAAATATATAATAGATCTAGTAATATCAAGACGATTTTAATAACCAGTACATTGTACTTATAAGGCTTTCTCTTCTATATATAACGTATACGCAAAATTGACTTCAGCTTTATGTGAATTTTCATCAGTGAAAATAGTAACGAGTTGATTAAATATTACTATGAAGAGCGATACTAAAGTATGCTTTCAAAATATGATGAGAAATTCTATTACGAAAAAAGAAATCTACTGTAGTCTTACCTAATATTTATTTGAAATGACGATTTTTTTCTTTATGAATATGAATCATAGTATTATTTTCTACCTCTAATTTTGAGAATTTTTCAGCATTAACACAATTATCTACTAGCTGTATAAGTTTAACAATTAGTTTATCTTTTAAGAAAAATTCTACAATATCAGATTATTATAATAAAACATATGAATGAAAGACGGGCTTCGCTTAGGTTCTTGTTTTGAAATTTATACTGAATTAAACTGAATCAAAAGAGAAAATGTTTGAGATTCCATTAAAAATAAGTAAAAGTGCAATTTTTTATTTCAACTTATTTAGTTTATTCTAAACGATTGTCATCATCGAAGTCTCTTCTTTTATAGTAGTAGACCATTCCGTAATGTAAGACAGCTTGAAGAAGCGATGTCTCGAACAGAATAGAAGTTCGTCTTTTAATTGTTTAATTTTGTACTTTAATCTGCATTTTTTAAACCGTGCAAACTATCATGGTTGTTCTGGAAAACCCTTTTAAATTATTAATAATTAAAAAGAAACATTTCAGAGAACCTCCACTGGAACATCAATTTGCTTAGAGATCGTAGAAAACTCCAAATCCTCTATTATCAGAGAGGAAGAGTTCATTATTTTACTTGTATAGTATGTTAATCTATGTGTCTTTTTTTTTTGTAGATGAAAAAATATAATAACTTTGTTGATAGTCTGTTTTTTTTTTCTTACTTAAATTTCTTCTTTCCTTTGCATGTTTATACATTGATCTAAACTGTATGAATTCAGCTAAAAACTAAAATCGACATCAATTTAAGAGGTAATACTATGGAGAAACCCTAGCTCAGAAAACTGCTTCTAGCTCAGATTGCGAAAAACTATTTTGTTTTCAACTTCAAATCAGTCAGTATTTGCTTGTAGATTTTGGAATTTTTTTTCACTGTCGAAATACATTAATATCATCCTTGACGACAAACATTTTTTCAAACGTTCATTATATAAGATTTCTAAACAACAATGGCTTGGTGTTGAAGATACCCTAAATAACTTTGATAATAAACAAAGGGTGTTGAACTTGTCAATTGACTTGTTTAGCCTATTCGTTAATGTGCATATCTTTCTGATAGTACTTTTTCTTCAAACTTATGTATAAACAACTGCGTCGCACGTTTTCTGGCACCTTTTCCTGTCAGAAAACAACTACCAACACGATGACA